CTTCATTCCCAAAAGGAGTGTGACATTTCTTCATTCAATAATGAAATAAATAGAAAATAGCATTTCTCTAGACAGTGCCAATATGCAGCGTGCTCCTGAATTTATCATGAAAGCGGGTAAAAGTCTTTTTGTGGTGGTGAAAGAGACGAAGCAGTGAGGATATTGGGAGAGAAATTACATTCTTGGCTGAATCAGTGAGTAAAGGTATTGGGAGGAGGATGGGGAGTAGCAGGAGAAAAAGAAAAAAGAGGAATTGGAATTGGAGTAAAAAGAGGAGGTGGCGAGTGGAAAGGAAAGAATAAAAGATTGAGAAATAGAGGAAAAAGGATATCAAGTAGGTTAGATGCAATGAGGGAAGAGGAGAAGAAGGATGGGGGAGAAAATGAAACCAGGAGATGAACACGGCAGATGAGTGAAAGAAAGATTATACTCCCAAGGGTCAGCAAACTACAACCCATGTGCCAAATGCAACCTACTGCCTGTTTTTTGTAAATGAAGTTTTATTGGAATACAACCAGGCCCGTTGATGTACGTTGTCTAAGGCTGCTTTCACATTACAGTTACAGAACTGAGTAATTATGATGGAGATGGTATGATCCACAAGCTTAAAGTATTTACTATCTGACTCTTATGAAAATGTTTGCAGTCCAATCAGATGGTTCTCAAACTTTGGTGTGCATCAGAATTACTTAGAGGACTTGTTAAATCATGGATTGCTGGCTGGGTACAGTGGCTCACACCTGTAATCCTAGCATTCTGGGAGGACAAGGCAGGAGGATCGTTTGAGGTCAGGAGTTCAAGATTGGCCTGAGTAATATAACGAGACCCTGTCTCTATAAAAAATATAAAAATTAGCCAGGCATGGTGGTGCACACCTGTAGTCCCAGCTACTCAGTAGGCTGAGGCCAGAGGATAGCCTGAGCCCAAGAGTTTGAGGCTCCGGTAAGCTATCGATGACACACCACTGCACTCCAGTCAGGGTGACCGAGCAAGACTCTGTCTCCAAAAAAAAAAAGAAAGAAAAAGAAAAAGAAACATAAACACACAGATTGCTCAACCCCATCCCCGGAGTTTCTGATTGAGGAAATCTGGGATGGGATATGAAAATTTCATTTCCAGTAAGTTCCTAGGTAATGCGGATGCTGTTGGTCCTGGGACCACACTTTGAGAATCACTGTTCTCATCTTCACATTATGTCACACTAATATTGTTCTGAATAAGGACTTTTGTGTAGAAAGGGAAAGGGAAATCAAAGTTGATCCTCTGTTTAGGTAAGCACAGATGTGTCAATTGATACCACAATTATTTACAAAGTATACATTTTTAAAAATTCTTAGAACTGAATTTTTTATAACCCTGGTTTCATTCTTACAGCAATGAAAAATGGATTTGATTTAGTTTAAAGTTAGTTAATTGGTGGTTTGTTCCTAAACTTGTTTTATAGTTTGGCTTCATTCAGCTCCCTGAAACAAAGTTGGACCATGTCAGTGTTATGATTGGACTGAGTCAATAATATGGACTGTATCCATTTAATGAGAAGCCTCTCTCCCCACCCAGGGGTGGCTGCTCACTGCCTGTGCTTGGAGCCACTGGGAAATTAAGCCATACGTGGCTTGGGATTTAGCTTACCACCCAGCTTGCCCCACTCCCAGACTATACAGGTGTCTTCTGAATTTGACCCCATGAAATTGGCAAGTTCTTCAATAGCTTTTCTTTTGGAGATGAGCATGAATGTTGTCCCGGGTATGAGACCTTTGGGAATCATAGTACCAGGTACCAGAGATTTTATTCTTCTTAAACTGCATCCCAAGATCCTGAGATATTTTTTTTTTAACCTGCTAGTGGTGTCATGGTTTGTGCACTCATGATCTTCTACCTGTGTCCTTAAATCTGTGCTCTGGCTGGGAATATGGGCACTCAATTATTAGGCTTAATTTTGCATTTTCTATGCTTGCTGCATAGGAGTTTTATGAAAGATAGAGAAATGTTTCTCATTTTTCTTTATCCTACCATTTGAAAACATAGAGGAAACATAATTTTAGAACCTGAAAGTACCAGAAACACCTTCGGGATTGAATGAGTACAAGTTAAAATTAGCAGCTCTTTAAAATGTGGGATGGTTTGCTTCCACCGTGTCTCTGAATGTTTACTTTTTGCACACATAATTGAGATGGGCGGAAGATTGAAAAATCCAAATTTTTCTTACAAGAAAGCTACCATAAAGTTTAATTCAGACTTGTTAGCTCTAGAGGATTTCCAGATTTTGTTAAAAGTTGAAGTGCATAAGGAAGTATATTATGGACATCAAGGAAGGATGAATAATGTAAATGTATGTTACATGCCTAGCTCAGTGCATGGGATATAGTAGATACTTAATAAATCTGTGTCACTGCTGTTGTTGCAACAGGCCCTTACCTTGATGAGTGGACAATTCTTGGTTAAAAGATTATGGTAAAATAAACAATGGAGGCAGTCCATACTGTGCATGGCACTATGTTAACCAAAACTTGTGCATACCTGAACGAGTTCCTTATTTGTACAATCCCATTGTAACAGGTAAAATATCAGTTATCAAAAAACTATGCAAAGCATAGACTGTCTATACTTTCAACATCATGGGAGCTTATTTTCAAAGAAACTCTATGATGAATTTTCATAAAGTAAGATTATGCTCTACAGCTATCACATCAAAGAATGTTGTGAGTTTTAATTCCTTCTAATTCCTCTCCAATAATTTGCAAATTGTAATCAACACCAAAAAGGTAAAATTGGATATAAAGTGCCACCTATCTTCAGCTCTTCTTCCCGTGACATCTCTTCCCTCCTTCCCCTCTCTTTGTGTGGCAGTGCCGCTTTTCATAAGCTTCCGAGTATTCAGCACTGCCTGACTCAGCCACACCACCATGCTGGTAAATGGCATGGAGGAGAGGGGTCACCTGGTCATCTGTTTCTATTGTCCTTCCATCTACCTTGCACAGAGTAGGAACAAGTCCGTTTACAGACCCACACCCTGAGCGGGTGTCTACAGTCAAGATCTGTACAACAGGGTAGATTACGGTTAATGGTGAATTTCCACTACAGACTTTTAAAGGTCTTGTTGTATGCAGTTTATCGTGGCAGAATTTTGTTATAGAGGGATGACATGAAAAGCTAACAGGCAATTTGACTTCAGCTTTTACTTTATTCAGGGACTTGCACTACAATGAACACCTTGATGGGAATTATTGTTGGTTCACTGCAATTTTCACTGGGGTTTAATATTAGGAAAAGCACCAGTCTCTCTGGTATTGAAAAAGGGGCTGCTTCAAAGGTACCAGTGAATAATCTGGTGGGCTTGATTTCTTCTGAGTTTTCAAAACTTTCATACTGGTATTAATTGCTGTTTTATTTTTCCATGGCTGCTATGATAAATTACCACCAGTTGAGTGCCTTAAAACAATACAGACTTGTTATTTCACAGTTCTGGAAGTCAGAATTTCAAAACTCAGTCTCGGTGGGCTAAACGTCAAAGTGTCAGCTGGGCAGCATTCCTTCTGGACGCTCCAGGGGAGACTCTGCTTTCTTGTCTCTTCCAGCAGCATCCAGACATGGCTCGCCTTCCCTGGCTTTTGTCTCCTTCCGCCATTTTCACGTCCACGCCATAGCACTTTTCAATCTCTGTCTTTTTTCCCCTCTTTTCTTTTCCCTGGCCAACTTCCCTATTGTCCCTTTCTTTTTTTTTTTTTTCCCAGTTCTGAATAAGGACTTTTGTGTAGAAAGGGAAAGATATATGCATATCTTTATGTATATCT